TATGGTGGATTTACCAGGTCTAAAGCCACACTGATAAGGCCAATCAGTTCATTGACGGTGAGCTTCAGTCTTTCACACAATACGCTCGATAAGAACTTATGCTTAGAAGGCTGATCCCGCAGTAGTTGGCGCGAATGGCAGGGTCGCCTTTTTGTGGATTGGGCAGAGCACACTTAAATTCCAGTCGTCGGGCATGCNACAGATGCGGGTGCGTATATTGGCTGCAACAAGATAGTGGTCCGTCGATGTTTGAACCTCGGAGTGTGAGTACGTCTAAAACACTAGAAGCGTGCCTTCCGTCTATCACAACATGATCGATTTGGTTTCTCGTTTTTCGATCCGGAGACAGCCACGCGGCTTCATGGATCTTTTTATGCTTGAACCTAGTACTGCATACTACTATGTTTCGGGCCCCGGCGAAGTCGATCAGCCATTATCCATATGCTTTTGTTAAAAAAGCTCGTACAGTTTGTCGAGCTTCTCCTCCAGTTTGTGGTGTGCGTTTTGATGTTGCCTTACAAATGAAGTCACTACAGTTTTACGCGGCCTCCGAACGGCAGAGGGTTTTTAAGAAGCTTTTTCATGGCAAGAATGCACTCGGAGGTATACCAATGCTTGCGGAGGGGTGACCTCTATTGCAAAGAACTTCGATGTTGCTGGGACCTGAAATCGAACCCTTGACCTACCAAGTAATAGTGCGCTGGTTATAGGTGCGTCGGTCGAGAGCAAATGTACACTTCGTACATATTCCAAAGAATTTAATTTTAGTTTTCTTATTATATTTCATTATTTAAAATTAATTTGAAAGCCATTTGATTTTACTAGGTGATGGATATCGGGATCCGCAGGACCCGAACTCGAACCACTTTGTATAAATATAGAGCATGTCGCCAAACAAAGTCTGCTTAGCTTTGTTGAAATGGATTTGGAAAAGCTAAGGTCATATCCTCTAGGAATATAGAATAGCTAGGGTCCTCGCTTCCGCTAGATTGTTTCTCTAGAGATATTATAGGTAAAATCGAAACTTGTTTGAGCGAAAACAATCACAAATAAAGGCTATCGAAACTAGAGTAGCACTCAAAGCCGGCTTATCTTATGAAAACAAATCACCTTTAGTGCATTGAAAGGCTAACTAACTTTCTTGGCATACATAATATTATCCAGTTAGCGCTGGTACCTGGACACAGGTGAATAGAGGGTAGCGAGGCGGCAAACTGTCTCGCAAGAGATGCGGCAGCCATCACTCCAATTAGCACCGAGCCCTTCCTAGGACCAGATTCCAATACTATAAAGGAGGTGCTTGGGAGGGAGATGAGCACAATCAGGGATATAAATTTGCATAGTTCGGTAGGAATGTGTCAGGCAAATTGTTTACTGGTAGGCTATAGCAAGAGAAGATTCCAAGGCTTAATTAAATCTCCCAAATCAGACGTTTAGAATACTAACCGCACTGACACTGCAGTTTAAGAGGACATCTATATACATATATAGGCTGGGGATATGGTCAAATAATTTTTGCCGGTTCTGCGACTCGCCCAGCAATATAGTTCTACACTTTGAGTGTGATGCAGTCTGCAGAAGACGTGGTATCCTAACCTCCCACCAGCGAGGTAGTACGAGTCACTAAACCCAATTTTTTAATGAAATTCTCGTTTTGTTGCCCCTATCTCGAAAATAAAAAGAGCTACAGAAAATATATGAATGACAAACTTGTAGAACATTTAATGTACTACAAAAAAGTTTCAAAACACCAAATCGCTAACATCAATATTTCTTGAGATATTGGACTTGGAAGTTGATCAACAATTTCTACAATTTAGCTGATAGTCCATGAAAATTCCACACTACCTCAACTTCAAAGCCCAATATCTTTTTTGTAGGAAATTGAAAGTGCTACAAGTTTGTCATATATATTTTTTCTGTAGCTCTTGTTATTTTCGATATAGGGGCAAAAAAACGAGAATTTCATGAAAACATTGGGNGATTGAAAGTGCTACAAGTTTGTCATATATATTTTTTCTGTAGCTCTTTTTATTTTCGATATAGGGGCAAAAAAACGAGAATTTCATGAAAACATTGGGTTTAGTGACCCGTACTACCTCGCTGGTGGGAGTTAGGATTACACCGCAATGAACTCTTTCGTAGAGCATTCAATTCTGAAGAAAACTCATCATTGACCAAGATTATACCATAAAATGCCTCTGAGCTGTAGACTTTTGAAGAAAAAAACCCAAAGTTTACGTGTATTTTATTTGGGAAATCTTTGCACACCTTGGGCGAGTGCTTAATGTTAATATAAAGGGTTAAAATTTTCAGGGAGTTTTTTAGGTGTTTTATACAAAATTTCGAGGTAGGAGTGAAAAAAAAAATAGTCACAAAAAAATCGCCCTAATACACGTACAAATATATATATATATATATATATCTTCTCAAGAGCTTCGAGTGCATTCGTCGCGAATTCATGGAGGACGAACTCAGGAGTGGAATGGCAATGGAATATAAGCTTTCATGGGCGTAGCCAGGTAGGGGCAGGGAGGTGCTCGATCCCCCCCCACCCCCCCCCCTAACTTTCAAATTTTCCTTGTATATATATAAAATAGTACCCTGAAATGCCAGCTTAATAGGGTCGAGCCCCCCTAAATTTCATTCTGGCTACGCCGATGTATGCTTTCTGGTGTCCAAAACACCATAATCAGTGCGGATAAGTGTGTCACTGAAAGCCGTGAACGTGAATTGTTGGTGAAAAGGTTGGACCAAAATGTTTAAATAAAAAAAAATGGTTTTGGGCGGGACGAAGTTCGCCGGTTCCGCTAGCATTTTTGTGCTTTAATATGAATTTGACTATGAATAAAATTCCAGATGTTCATAGAGCTCTTCGTGTAAAAAAACTCATTGGTAGCAGTATGCGGGCCATGACTTCATATAGAAGAGCTTAACTATTTACATATGCTTATTTTTTTCAAGGTATGTGTCTCCCGAATGTAAGTTCGTATGTACACCTTGCATGTATTTACATATACAATATGTACGTTAGGGTGCATAACTCTCCATACAAAAGAAAAAAAAAAACGTGTACTGTTTTTTATCGGAATCATAAAAATTACTACATTTTAGCACTTCAACTAAAATATTTCGGTATAATATTTAGATTTACGTGAGCTGGGCCCATTTGAAAGCACCGCCTAAAATTGAGTTTTTTTGTTTTATATCACGTCAGGTAATACAAGAGTTTAAGTTACAAAGTACTGCATAAAAATGCTTAAAAAATGTATCAACGGAATCAAAATAATGAGATTTTCGGAGGTAAAGTGGCGAGAATATAAATAGGGAAGAGACATTTTAGCATTCTTTAGCTTTTGTCGTTTCGATTATTTATTGCCATGTACGTTAAAATTTCAAACTTTCCAGAAAAATACGCAAAACTCGGCAAAATTTCATCAAAATTTTGAGCTTTTTAATTAGATTTCTTAGAAGCATTCTGAGTATGCAGTTTTAAATTTTATTATAATAAAGTGCAAATTTTAAGTAGGTAGTACTAACCGTTGTGGAAAGTGTAGCTTATTTTCTCCATACAAAAAAATTTTCGAACATATGTACATATTTACTTTGTATCGAAGAAAATGCGCAAACAAAAATTTGCCAAAAATCAACGGTAAGTCCTAGCTAATTTGCACTTTATTATACTAAAATTTAATGGCCTACGATAGATTCCGCGATAACCCAGAGTAAATATTTAAAAAAAAAAGAAAAGTAGCCTACACTTGCTAAAATGTCTTTTCCCGATTTACATTCTCGCCGCCGTATTTTCAAATCGGTCCTGCTCACGTAAATCTAAATATGTTTCCGAAATATTTTGCCATATGTTTTAGATATAATAAATTTTATAATTCCGGTGGAAAACCCGCAACTTTTTGGGGATGCACTCTAATGCATATACATACATATGTGCATATATGTACATTAGTGCGGGCCAATTTGTATCGGAGATTTTTTCGACTATGCGCGTATAGCATAGAAGGATTCTACGTGTAATTCTAAGAAAATTAGCCAAAGAAACCATAGGTCTAAAATCAATTTGGAGTTTGCCAAATTGCGAAAATAGATTTCTTAGCATTTTGCTGTAGTGTCGAAAAAATTGCTTAAATTTTGTATAGAAACATGCTATAAGGGGTTTTTTGGTAGATGGAATCCATTTCTGCACTAATATTTTTCTTAAAACTTCCACCAGAGCGCGTAACAGTGAAAATTTTCACGTGTCCTTCGAAACCTATTTTCGCTATTTGGCAAACTCCTAATTGATTTTAGACCCACGGTGTCTTTGGCAAAATGGCTAAGAATTACACGTAGAATCCTCCTATACTATACGCACAATGTAAACATAAAAAAGGACCCGCCCTAATGTATGTACATCATTCTGAAAGTATATTATATATATGAACTTAACGAAAAATATGTAATTATAAGATGCGTTTGATTATCCGCCTCATTTGAAACTTCCTTCCGGTAACTCCCCTCTATCTTAAAAAAAAAAAAATTGCGCGCGCTTTATCCATTTAAACTCAACTACTTTCGTACAATGCAACCGAGAACAATTGAATTCACAACTAAGGTGTAGCTCTATACCTGTGTACATGCATACATACATACATCTTATTGTTCACTCAGGGACGGACATATTACATACCTTTACTTAAGTATTCGTTCAGGAAATTTCGTAAGTAAACAACGACAATACCTATTCGCCTGCAAGCAAGGCTAATTTTGCTTGTTTTTGTTCAATTCCGTGGGCTTCTCCTTCATCCGCAACGGCACCTTTCGTTAATGCCTTTCAATTTGAAAACAGAACGAAGAAAATGCGTTATAAGGTATGTACAAGAAACTACCACAATTGCAAGGCGCGCAGACGCAAAATGCATACGGCGAACTCCAACCACCACCACCACCACCACTACCACCATCAGCCGGCAAAAGAAGTCAGCCAACTAACGAAATGCCTGCGGGCCGTACCGCTGAGTCGTGTTTGGCGTGAGCAGCGATCATGAGGAATCAGTTATGAATTTACCATCGAACGAATAGGAACCTTTCTACGCAAAAGAAGACGGTTTCCTTGCCGCAAGTACCAACAGTATTGGTGTTTTAAAAGTGTTTTGTTAAAAAAACACTTTGTTATACAGTTACAGTTTTGTTTATAAATTTTTATGTTTTTGTTAAAACGTGTGCTTGTTTTTTATTGAGACAAGAATTTTTGAAATAAAGGACACTAAGTTGTTTTGAAACCAAATTAAGAGCTTATGCGAAACCCTCAAACGTCAAAAAGCAAATCGAAACTATTAACCAAAAAAAAAAATAAGCCAGCTCAAATTAAAATAACGGCCACTTCAAACCGTACACACAACACTCACGCCAACCCTCACTGCTTATCTTTTCTATCTTTCACGCACCACCTACCAGCAGCAACAACAGCAACGCCACACAATGTCTTTCTCCAAAGCAAAACTAAAGCGCTTCAACGATGTCGATGTGGATTGTGCCAACTCGCCCGCAACTGCACGCCTACCTACCGATGCGTGCACAATTAATACGCCAGGCAAATGCATTGCTGCCGCCGCCACACCAGCTACTACCACCGCTCCCACTACAACAAGCGGACACCCAGAACGCAAGGAACAGATTGAGAAATTCTTCAAAGACGCCGTACGCTTTGCCACCAGCAGCAAGGAAGCCAAGGAGTTCGCAATACCCAAGGATGCCGCATTGAAGGATGACAAAAAATCCAAGGGTTTGCGACTCTTCCGCACACCTTCATTGCCACAGCGCTTACGCTTCCGACATAATGCCTCCGAGTCAGCGACAGCAGCAGCTGCAGCAGCAGCAGTGGCGGCTGCCAACAACAATAACGGCAGCGGCGCCAGCACAGCCAGCTCCACGCCAATGCATTCCGCCACAAATACACCAGTAAAAGATGCCACCAAGTCAGGCAGTCGACTCAAAGGCAAAGAGGCATTACAGCATGAAATACGTAAAAAGAATGAACTACTCGAGAGCTACATGAGTCAAATTGATGTGCTGAAGCGCCATGTCGAACAGCTAAAGGAGACCGAGCGCAAGTTGCGCGAAGAAAATGCCAGCGTCACGGAGAAGACGGAGAATTTAATACATGCATTGCAGGCGGAGAATGCGACACATAAAGAATTGAACGATAGGCTAAGCGCCGAAAATGTAGAGCTAGCCGAGACATGCAACAAAAGAGAGCTGGAGATAAAGGCGCTCGTGACGCGACACGCCAACGAGCTGGAAGAACTACAAGCCATCATGGCTGAGTTGAGATTAGAGAAAGCCACGTTGGAGCAGCAAGCGCAGGAACACGGCTCAGAGGCACAAAGAAGACTCCAACAGTTACAAGTGTTACAGCGTGAGATTAACGAAGCGCGCGAACGGCTGGTGGCATCCGAACAACGCGCAGAAAAAGACACTGAGCTGATACAAAATTTGCGCAATACCAATGAGTCGCTTAGCCTAGACTTGAGTGAGTTGAGGAAGCAAGTCGAACACGACGCGCTCAGCTATGCGCAAGAGACCAAGATCACACAGAATGAGATGGAGTGTCTGAAGAAGGAGCGCAGCACATTGAAGAACGATTTGGCAAGCAAATGCGAACTCATCAAATCGCTACAGGACGAGCTGCTAGATAAGACTTGCGAAATCGACGCACATTGCGATACGATACGCCAGCTGTGCCGAGAAAAATCGAAATTGCTGGAGAAAGAGCAGTTGATTGAGAAGGCCGAAGAGAAGTTGCGTAGCGCTGAGGAGCAGGCGGAGCAAAAGGTGCAGAAACTCGAGTCCGATTTGGAGAATGCGCTAGAACGCGAGAAGGCGTATTGGCGCGCTGAACTGGACAGACGCCAGAAACTGGCTGAGAATGAAATAATTAAGGTGGAGTTGGAAAAGCAAGACGTGATGGTGTTGCTGGAGACTACGAATGATATGCTACGCGACCGCGACGAGAAAATCCATAAGTACGAAGAGCAATTGCGCAACGGCATTGACTACTACATACAATTGAACGATACATTGCAGAAGCAGATTGTTGATCTGAAGCAAGAGATTGCTAAAATCATTACCGAGAAGTACAATTACCAACTGACGCTGAGTAATACGCGCTCCACGGTCAATATACTGATGGAGCGTTTGAAGAAATCCGATGCTGACGTCGAACAATTCAAGGCCGAACTCGAATCTGTGCAGCTGGCCAAGGGCGCGCTGGAGCAGAGTTACCTAACGCTGCAGTCCGAATTGGAGGCACTGCGCAGCGATCATGCTGAAACCGAAACGGCACTGAAGACGCTGTGTCAATCATCGCAAACGCTGCAACAAGAGGTATCCATTAAAGATAACCTATTTAATGAAATACTCACCTCAGAAGAAGAAACTTTGGCAAAATTCAATAAAATTGCTTCCTCATTCCAGGAGCGCATCAATACGACAGATGTCGCGCACTACCTGGAGATGTACAATGAGCTGAAGCGCAAAGACGAGACGCGTGAACAGTACATGCAGGACATGAAGAAGGCGCTAGACGAATTCGCTACTGTGCTGCAATTTGCACAACTGGAGCTGGACAGCAAAGAGAAGTCGCTACACAAGGTGCGCGACGAATGTGAACAGCTGAAGTTGGAGAATATGGCGCTTAAGTCAAAGGTCGACGAGGGTAACACCAAAAAGGAGAATAGCACAGATCTGGAGAAAATTGAAGACCTACTAATCGATACAGAACTACGTGCGGAATGCGACAAAATCGCCTCATGGCTTTTGAGCTCCTCGGCCAGTGAGAAATGTGTACGCACCGAAAGTACCAACGAAATCAACGAGCTGCTGAAGCCAACGACACCGAACAGCAACAGCAAGAAGAACCGCAGCTGTTTGACACCATCATCACCGACGCCCGCCAACAAAACGATAACGCTATCCACCAACGCGCCGGGTTCCAATGTGGGCACACCGCGTACACCGCGCACGCCAAAAACGCCACGTACGCCCCGCACGACACCCAAGAAGACGGTGCTCTTTCCCGGCAAGGAAAACATATGCAGTCCACAGAAGCAAGTGCTGAAGGCGCGTAATATGTAAAG